TGTGTGTCCGGAAATGCTGTGGCAGATGCAGAGATGTAGTGAGACTCCTCTTGGAGACTTGCAGCCTAGTGGAGGGTATAGCTGGTGTTCTCATGGGTCCTGTGCTTAAAGGCACAGATCACCAGGGCCACAAGAGAGAAGCATCCCTATAAAATACCTGAGGCATGGAGGTTACTAATGACTGGGGTTGGGGTGGTGGTGGTTGAGGGAAGGTACATTGAGGGAGATAACTACTAGGTCTGCCAGAAAGATTTGTAAAGGAGAAAATAGGGGTAGGTCAAGGGTATCTTCCCAGGAGAGAGAATGGGGCAAATGGAGAGAAATAAAAAGCCAGTTCACAGTCCCCAGAGGGTCAGACTATCAGCATCTCTCCTATCTGATTCCCCACAGTTTCCAGGTCACAGAGGGGAAGCAGAAGTCATCATCAGATGAAGATGTTCAGTAATGAGCTTGCCACTTACATACTGAGGTCCCACGCCATCATCTCTCCCTCTGTTTTCAACCCTGGTGTTTAGCCTGGCTCCGGGAGCACCCAGGTCTTGGTCATCTGTCTCTCCCAGCTCCTAGGATGTTTTGCAAATCCGTACAGGACAAGGAGTGGAAAGTGAAATTGGAACTCTTGTGAGAGAGGCAGGATTTCTTGAAATCAAAGCAAGTGATGTTGGAGAACTGCTTGAATGACATGTCAAGGCAGTAATAGATGAGGGTCTGGCAACGTGAGACCTGATGAAGAGAAGGGGGGAAACTGAATTCAAAAATCAGTTCTTTGAAAATCAAAGAGTTAAGCCCTTGAGAGATCAATAAGGTATGTTTGCAGAAACATCCTCTTTAGCACTGTGATCACCAAATGCTAACCGAAAGGATTTATCATGCTCTAAGACAGGCCACGTGAGACTTATTCTTTAAGAATTAGCACAGGATTTCACTTATGACCTCGTTTTCATTTTGTTCGATATTTACTCTTGCTTTTAAAATACATTTGGTTGGAGTGCCTGGGTGGTCAGTTGTTAAGCCTCTGCCTTTGGCTCAGGTTGTGATCTCAGGGTCCTGGGATAGAGTCCTGCATGGAGCCCTGCAGTGAGCCCCACATCTGACTCTCTGCTCAGCGGGAAGCCTGCTTCTCCCTCTTCCACTCCCCCTGCTTGTGTTCTCTCTCTCTCTCTCTCTCTCTCTCTCTTGCTGTCTCTCTGTCAAATAAAATCTTAAAAAAAAAAAAAACATTTGTTTTTTTGTTTTGTTTTTTTATTTGGATTAAGTTCTAAACTGAGCTTCGTTTTTTGTTTTGTTTGTTTTCTTCTTGACTGTGAACTTCCCTGTGTGGCTTCCCTGCTCGTCCCTTTTTGGGATGCTAATTCTCCGGGGGGGGGGGCGCACAGAGATCTCCTATGGGAGGAGATTCTGCTAGAAAGAAGGTGGGGACCAGCTCACAAAGGGCCCCGGATGCTGAGCCTCTGCTGGAAGCCAGAAATCTTGTCCTGATAAAAAAGCTCCAGGCTCTTAATACCAGGGCTCCCTTCTGTCTAACCCAGACTTTGTTCCTGCAGGTAGAAAATGCTATGGACCAACTTCACCTCCTTTAGAAATGACAAAACCCTCTTTAATCTCCTTGCTTTTCCTTTTATTGCGAAGTACAGATTGAGCAATGGGAGACTGTGTTTTGGGTGCTGAGGTTCTATTTTAGGCCCTGTGCCACTGCGTACCCATAGAGAGGGCTATTTTAATTCCTTTCAGTCATGTGGAAAATAATCACTTAAGTGATGCTCTTTCTAGCACTTTACCTCTGAGAGGTGACCTCAGCCGATGACCGTGCATGCAGTCTGCAGGAGCCAAGTGCTGGAATCAAAGCTGGTCCTGGGCTCCCTTAGACTGAAGATGCTGGGGTCTTCAGAGGTGAAAGGTCAAGTGACTTTGGGGCTTCTTTGATCCAGCAGGAGATTTGGCTCCTATTTCTGGAGGGTTTTCTTGTTTTCAACATGATTTCAATCAGTTAGTTAGGTCAGACTCTCATCAGTCTAGATCATGACCCCCCCCCACCACCACCCCAGGCCGATATTTTGAAGGTGCTCGGCTAGGTCAGGTCACATGTTGGGTATGTTATTGCCCTTTTTCTTGGCTAGTACAATTTTTTAGAAGATCTGCTGCCAGATATATAAGCCACTTACCTTCCAGCTGAGCCCCTGATTCTGCTGCCTGCCTTTCCCCCATCTCTGCCTGTGTCCTTTCTCCAGAGAATCGGGTAGCATGATTATCTGGTTCTCTAATTCCCTGCCCACAGGACCAGCCTGGTTAGGCTGAGTTTCCTTGCCCACAGAGCTGCCCCAGGTGGGAGAAGGAAAGGAGAGGGGCTGTGGGCTTGGCTGGTTCTTAAGTAAGAACCCCCAGAGGGAACCAGTTGCTGGCACTTTGACACCAAGTGGGACCAAGGGCTCCTCTTATTAGTACCTCTCCCAGAACCGCCAAGGAGCTATGCATTTCCAGTTCATACAAGGGTCTGGTTGCAGGATGGAAATCCTTGTCTTCTCCTTTGAGGACTGAAGTTCCTGTCAAACTGACTTAACCTTTGGATAGTCACACAGGACAGGAACCCTTCCTGGTCTTTGTTATCTTAGGAGGCAGCCTGGCTTTTTAGCTTGTGTAGAGGGAGAGAGATTTGCAGGTGAACAGCCTTCACATTTGTGCTTCTTCCCTTACCATGTGAAACAATTAAGGTTTGGGCCATTTTAACTAACACAGAGTACAGGACTGGCTGGGAGAACTCTGTGATGATAAAAATGATCTCTATGTCCACTGTCCAGTCTGGTAGCCACATGGGGCTCTTGAGCACATGAAATGTGGCTAATGCAAGGAGGAACTGAATTTTTCATTTTATTTAATTTTGGTCAATTTAAAGTCACAGGTGGATAGTGGCTAATTTTGATCAATTTACAGGTGGGTAGTGGCTGCTATATAGGACAATGCGGGGTAGACCATTCTATTTGAGGACTTTATATTATACTTTGTAATAAAGTAGAGAAAACCTTATACATAGTAGCAACTCAAAAGATACAAAGGGTATCAGTGACAAGTCTTCCTCATCTGTCTCTAGTCTCCCAGTTTCCCTTCCCAGTGGCAGCCAGTTTCTCATGTATCCACCCAGAAATATTTCACACATATATAAACATTACATCTCTTTCTCTTTCTACCTCCCTGTCCTCTTTCACTCCTCTCTCCTTTAATGCAAGAGGTGTTATTCTGTCCACTCTCTACGTTCCTGGGGCTTTGTTTGTTTGCTTGTTTGTTTGTTTTAGAGGCAGGGAGCAGCAGAGGGAGAGAGAGAATCTTAAGCAACCTCCACACCTGCACAAAGCCGGCAGTGGAGCCCAGTCTCATGACCTTGAGATCATGACCTGAGCCTAAATCAGGAGTTGGACACTCAACTGACTAAACTGCCCAGGTGCCCTTGTTCTTTGGTTTTTTGAGTTAATAATGAACCTTGGAGGTCATTATTTTAATGGCTCACATTTAATTTTACTTGTATTTAATGGCTATACCTAATACACCTTTACAAAGTTATACCATCTTTTACTTAACAGGCCCCCCTTAGAAGTGGGCATATGCATTAATTCCATGACAGATACCTTTGGCCATGACAGATACCTGCTGGAACAACTAACTTGCACAAGTGGGATTTCACACATTAGGTATAAAACACAGACTCTTAGAAGTGAGACGATCAGGTCGAAGGAATGGTTTACATTGCCTCGGATTTTTGCTGGATCGCCACGCATAGAGCACGTTGATGAGAATAGAAGTTGTGCCTACGGAAGAGCGCCCGTTCCCCTCAGCCTTGGCAATGGTCTGTTAGTGAACTTTTTATTCGTTGCCAGTGTGATAAATCAAGCCATTACCTTGTAGGTTTAGCATTTTTCTTATTATAAATGAGATTGAGGGTCTCTTTGTATGTTCAGGAGTCTTTTCCTTTCTGGTAAATTGGCTGCTCAGATCATTTGTCCCTTTTTCTGTTGGATTTTTGGTTGTTTTAATTGATACATAGGAGGAACCTTCTTTTCATTCAGGAAATTAGTCTGTTGCCTCTGATTTATATTGACAAATCTTGATCTTGGTCAGGGTCTCTCTTTCCCTGTGGCATTATTTGAAAGCATTTCATGTGGTGAACATATTAATCTTCTTGTTATGGCCTCTGTGTCTTATATCTGACTTAGACATTCCCCGTGGAGGTATTTTCAAACAGGTCGCTTGTTTTCTTCTAGAACCTCCATGGTTCCATCATGGTTCCTCACTGACTCCCCTGAAATAGTTCAGGGGTTTTGTGGATTTACCTTCCCTTGCCCGGCTCCTCATTCTCCTGCTATGGTGCCTTTGCCATTGGCTTTCTGTCCAGCCCTGGTTTTGAGGGCCTTCTCACTAACCACTCTGGGAGAAACCTGATCCTCATTTGTCCACTGGTTGCTTCCTTTCTCCTTTTAAAAAATTTTTTCCTAAATTTTTAAGTAATCTCTACACCCAACATGGGGCTCAAACTCACAACCCTGAGATCAAGAGTTGCATGCCCTACCCACTGAGCCAACCAGGCGCCCCTTCTCATTCCTTTCTGAGTACAACTGTGAGTTAAACCCTAATCCGAGTGGAGAAGGTGAGAGTCAGTCTTTATTTCCATCCCCCCACCCCGTTACCTTTCTCCCATTGCCTCCCAGATATCACCAGGTCAGTCCCTGCTCTGTCCTCTTGCTGCGGATCCCCTTGACTTTCTCCTTGACTTCCTGTGTGCCTTCCTTGCCCGGTCTCATTATCTGACACACCCTGCCCTTTGTACCGGTTGCTTAATTGGGGTGGGTGACTTGAGCCAGAGGTGGGCTATAAAGCTGTGGGATATTTGTACTCTGCCTGTGCCGAGGAGGAGAGCGCCCCACCTTGCTCTCAGCATTCTGTGGCTGTTAGCACTTCATTCATGTGCTCTAATATGATTTAATGCTTTGTCATTTTCTTTCCTGTGATTCCAGAATCTCATTTTCGCTTCTGCCAGAGCCAGTAGCAGTTGGGGAAAGAAGGCCGTGTTCTTTGAAGAGTGAGTATGGATTTTTAACACTGTCGATTACAAAAAAAAAAAAAAAAAAAGGCAGCCCTTGATGAGCTTGGGTCCCCTCTGTAATCTTCCTCAAAACCCCTCCCAGGCCAGCTTGTGGTGGGTGATTTTTCTGGTTCAGTAGGTCTGATGGGGAGGGGTTTGGGCCCCTGAAGGGCAGAGACATGCCCACTAGGGACAGTTCTCAAAGACTGTGCCAGGAGCAGGGCTCTGAGCTTCAAGGGAGTCTGGAAGATCTGAGCCTCTGCGAGGGAATCAGGGTGCTTTCCTGGGGAGTGTGTTGCTCGAATTAGCCCTGAAGGTGGAGAGGAGTTCATTTAGCAGCCAGGACATGGGGTTCCTCCCCATGAAGGGAACAGCCTGCGGAAAGACAGAGCAGGAGGCTGTGCGGGGCTGGCATGGGGACAGGAGCTGGTCACTTGGGGTGCATGCAGAGATGTGGGAGTTGATCCAGGAAGTTGGGTTGGGATCGTATGAAGTGCTTTGAGTTCACATTCGCCCAGGGCAGCCTAATGTATGGTGGGAAGTGTGATGGTTGCCCTGGCAACTAGTGTTAGGGATGAGACAGAAGAGGAGCAAGAAGAAATGAGGATCTGGACCCAGGGCCACGGCTGAGGGAGCTGTGGTCTGACTCATACCTGCTGGAGTTTGTCTTCCTCCCCAGCATTGCTAGGTTATGTTGGACAACATCAGCCTCAGGAATTGGTGGCAGGAGGCTTTCAGAGGTATAACCCCCCCCACAAAGCTATGTTCCTCTTCCTGTGTGGCTCTGCCATGCTCTTAAAATGTGACAGGTATCACTGAAAAACTGAACTCTGAATTTTATTTAGTTAAATTTAAATAGTCAGGTGTTGAACGCCGTAGTCTGTCTAGACTCCCACAAGTTGGCTCCAGTGCTGGCGCCTCTCCAGCTCTGCGTAACAGGAGTGGGAAGAGTGAAAGATGTATCAGAGTCTGGGAGGCTAGATGAATTGGGGAGACTGTCGGCAGAAATGAAGGAGAAGGGGGAGAGATGAGTCTGGAACATGGTGAGACTGTTGGGTCATGCATGTGCTCAGACATGCTTTTAGAAAAGTCTGGAAGGGGGTTTCTGGCCAGGCATGTTGAGTTTTGTATTTCCTGAAGGAGGGAATGTTGGAGGATGTAGGGATGGAGAACTCTCCAAGGAAGACTGTGAGGAGAACATTTTGGGATTATCAGAGGACAGGATGAGGAGAGCATGATGGGAAGATCAGGAGAGGAGAACATCATGGGAATATCAAGGGGGAGAGAGAGGAGAGCATCTCAGGCCAGGTGTGCTCGTTTCAACAGCAGCGCAGTCAGGGGCACCCGGCTGACTCAGTCAGTAGAGCATGTTAACTCTTGATCTCAGGGTCATAGTTCAAGCCCCACGTTGGGCATGGAGCCTACTTTAAAAAAATTAATTAATGATTAATCAATAGTAGGGCTGTGAGAACTGCAAAGCACAGAAGATGAATGGACTCAGCCAGACTGAGGGGGGGACAATAAGACAAGGTGGGCATGGAGTTGGGCACCTCGTGGCAGGAATCCTAGGGGCCATGCCATGCTTTCAGTGATGAGTGGGCAATCTTAACTGCTTATTTGGAAATTTCAGTGTGATTTTCCTCCATGATGGAGATGATATATATGACAAGAAGTTAGAACTGCCCATTTCTTGGGGCGCCCAACTTACTCACTCAGAAGAGCATGTGACTCTTGATCGTGGGGTCATGAGTTCAAGCCCCATGTTGGGTGTAGAGATTACTTTAGGAAAAAAAAAAAAAAAACTTCCCATTTCTTGAATTATTGTTTCATCAAGTCCTGGGGCCTCCACATAAGAGAATCCTAACCATCTTAGTATTTTTTCTAGCTGTTGATCATTAGTGATAGTTTTGAGGGATTGGTTTACTTTGACAAGAACCTACTTTCAAAAAACAGTGTTGGGTGGTTGCAACAATATTTCAGGGCTTGGATATTACACTCAGATTTTAGGAACTTAGCGTTTTCCTTGTGGAAAACATTGTAGAAAGAATTTGCAGCCTCCAGTGGTTACTCCATGAATGGAGGTTGTGGCTCTCACCTCGTTGGCTGTGGTGGTGGTGGTGGTCCTGGTTATTAGCATTGCTGTCATTGTTACAATAATCATTATTTTGAAGAGACCAGGGCTTCAGTCTGTCACATATGATGGTGTAGGGGTAAGATATCTAGGGAAGGGCAAGCTTCTTTGAAAATGCTTCCCATTCTGTTTTTTCTTAGAATTTTGCATTATACCCTAAGATGAACATATTGGAACTCAAGAATTCTCAGTTTTCAAAATCAGGGAGAACATGGAAAGCCAGTCATGATGCATTATGCCTTACTTTTCACCCCAGACTAGGCACTTGGAGGTGCAGTGGGTACGTGGATCCACTGGTGTGTCCTCTATCCAGTTAGTGTTCACCCCTGTGTTCAGAGACGCACAGCTTGGACACTGACAGGAGGAGGCCAAGGGGCAGGCTCCAGTCTGGGATGTGAGAGTGTGTTACTCTCCCTGGTGTCCTAGCAGCCAGCTCTCTTCTTCCTAAAGTATCTTCTCTTCACACTGTGCCACGAGGCCACGGACATCATTATCATTAACCCTGGGATGCGGTGTTTTTATTTACAAGATATGTAAAAAGAGTACATTTTTTTACCACCTTTTTCAACCTTTTTCGATAATTCAGGCAATATGCATTGTCAAGACACAGTTTGCCTGGTACTGTTTTAGGTTCTGGGAACATGCAGCAAGGAATAAGATTCTTGAGGGGGGCAAACCAGATCCTCCTCTTTAATTGCCTGACATAATTTCAGAAACATTTTAAGTCTTCAGAATAGGAAAAGACTGCACAGGTGATTTGGATGAACATTCTTACTTAATTGTTGAGGAAACCAAGCGCTTGCAGCTGGTATATAGAAGAGCCTGGTGGGAGAGAACCTGCCGGAATGTTCCAGCCCCAGCCTGCTTGGGCCCAGCCCTCAGGTGAATCTGCCCGAGTGGCAGCCATTCCTCTATCTCCATTATGGTTGTCACAAGACCCATATATCGCATTTTTCTTAAAATTGACTCCTTTTAACTTAGTTTTCAAAATTAATTTGCGTCCCTACCATGAATTAAAAATATCTCTCCACCTGCTAGATGGGATGCTACCCTATTCATGAATGGCTTAATAAAGACAATGGGATCTTCAAGAAAGAAAGGAAGGAAGGAAGAAAGAAACCCTAAAAATCAACACAAAGAAACCATGTTATTAAGTAGCTAGGCACTGTTGCTTGTGGGAGGGGAAGGCTTGGAGAGGTTATCTAATAACACCATACTGAGAGTTCCGTTGACCTCGGCAGAACTGACAAAGAGCCCAAAGCCGACTTCTCAGTATGGATGTCGGTTTTATGTTGCCTGGGTAATGCTTTGTAGCCCTGAGCATTATTTAGCACTCTCCTTCTCCCTGACCTGAGCATTATTTAGTACTCTCCTGCTCCCTGATGTCATCTTACAGGCATCAGCTGAACGGGGCCCATCCTTCGCTGGCTCCATTTTCCACCCTGCAGCAGACTTTCCATCATGGGTGGTTCCAGGTTCACAGGGGTTCCGTTTTTCTGTCTCCAGCCTCTCCTTTGGGTACATAGAGTACCCTATAAACAAACCTCAGCAGGGTAGGAGAGCTGCCTTTTTAAAGGAAAGCTGAGGCAACTCCTTTTCAAAATGAAGAATGATGGGACGCCTCAGTGGCTCAGTTGGTTAAGCGTCTGCTTTCGGCTCAGGTCATGATCCCGGGGTCGTGGGATGGAGCCCCACATTGGGCTCCCTGCTCCATGAGGAGCCTGCTTCTCCCTCTGCCTGCCGCTCCCCCTGCTTGCACTCTCTTGCTCTCTCTGACAAATAAGTAAAATCTTTAAAAAAGAAATCTTTAAATAAATAAATAAATAAATAAATAAATAAACAAACAAATAACATGAGGGATGATGTAGAGATTGGGATAGTCACCTACTCCTAACGTGTACAGAACACTCAGGGGGCGCCTGGCTGGCTCAGCCAGAACAGCATGTACCTCTTGATCTCGGAGTTCTGAGTTTGAGCCCCACGTTGGATGTAGAGATTATTAAAAAAAAAAAAAAAAAACTGAAAGAAAACAAAGGAAAATACAGAAAGCATTAGTTTCTTCACTCAGGGCCAGTCTACATTTGACCTGGTCAGGGAAAGTGTGCAGGCTTCTCCATTATACGTCAAGCCTTGCTAAACCAGTCACGCTGTATAGAAGCTCATCATCGAAGACTTCATTCTGCAATGAAACGGAAGGTGGCTCCAAAGAAAACCTTCCCCGGACTGACGGGGCCAGCCATAGCAGGTGTTGACAAAGCTGTGACATCTCTTTTTGACAGTCATACCTTCTGGGGCTGCCATCTCCAGTGTCAGGGCCTATGATGTCATGGCCTTGGGCATAAAATGTTCTCATTCCTCGTCCAAAGGAGCATCATGTAATTAACTTCCTGCAGCTCAGAAATCAGAATTCGTGGTAACCCTCAGCCGTTTTTTTTTTTTAATTATTTTTATTAGCATATAATGTATTATTTGCCCCAGGGGTACAGGTGTGTGAATCATCAGTCTTAGGCAATTCACAGCACTCACTGTAGCACATACCGTCCCCAGTGTCCATCACGCAGCCACCCCATCCATCCCTCCCCCTTCCCTCCAGCAACCCTCAGTTTGTTTCATGAGATTAAGAGTCTCTTATGGTTGGTCTCCCTCCCCTAACCCTCACCCTCAGCAGTTTTTAAGGACTTTGTGTAATGTGGAAAAGTCTTCTTGAAGCTGACAGGTCCTATTCTCATTGACTCTTTTGTGACCCACAGTGTTCAAACCGATTGGTTAAAATTCCCTTTATCCGGAGAGTAATTGCTTATCCCTTGACTCTGAGGCCTTTCAGTATTATAAATCATATCTGGGGAGTTTTGTAATTACTGAAGGAAAAAGTACAGCATCATTGGGAATAGTTGGTTGTCCCTAAAACTAAGAGGATTGAGCCCATTTCGTAACTTTGCTTTTCACTAATTCATTTGTCCCATATTTGTGTCTTGTGCTCTTCTTGGCACTGAGAAAGAATGTGGACGATTGGCCCTACCTTCAAAGAGCTTTCTAGAAGATGAAATAGGTCAATGACTTAAGAGTGCTGGAATGTGTTTATGGTGATTGACAAATTGAGAGGACAGTTGAATTAGAAGTATACACAATGCTTCTACCCCTGAGAAGGCTTTCATTCCTACAGTTTCAACACTGTACCCAGATAGAGAGTGTCTGCCTGAATGAAAAGAGCTACCTGACCCACCTATACTCTCTCTCCCCCTGCTCCCCCTACCAAGGCTGTGAGGGGCTTGTTCTCCAACCCCTTTGTAGGGGACAAAACATGTAAATGGGAGAAACCAATATTGCATTATATGTTAACTAACAAGATTTAAATTCTAAAAAATTGTAAATAGAGATATTCTATCTTCATGGAGAAATTAAGAGTGACAGTGAGTGTGAGTATTTAATAGCAAATAGCTTACAAAGATTGAACAAAGGCCATTTGAAAAAAAAAAATTTTAGACACAGTAGAGCTTGGTGCAAAGGGAGTTGGTCCAAGCAGAAACTTGTTTTGTAATCATGACTCTTCCAACTGAGTAATCTTGGGCAAGTCACTTAACCTCTGTGTGCCTTAGTTTTCTCAGCCTATGAAATGGCAGAAACACCCACCTTGCCTGTTGCACAGGGCTTGGTGTGCTTGACCAAGTGTTGATCACTTTTAGCCCGCTGGCCAAATTCAGCATGCAGCCTTTTCTAATAAAGATTGGAATACAATCAGTCCCAACTATTACATGCTGGGTGTGACTGCTTTCTCACTACAGTGGCAGGTCGAGTAGTTGTGACAGACCCTGTGGGGCTCCCAATGCCAAAATATTTATCATCTGGCCCTTGTTTTCAGTGATGTCAGTGAGGTCACACCATCACCATCATGAATTCATTATAATATTGAAATATGTCTCAGTTGACAGGGGCACATGGGAGAGATCTCTTCATTTCACAGGGAATACAAGGAAGGGCGAGATTTGCTGGATAATTCACACTTTTTCTTAAAGAAGTCTTTGTTTTGTTTAGTGAAATGTAGGTTTGGTCTTAGGCAGCTGGGAAACCTCGGGTTGCAGACCACCCACCCCCACCCGGCACACGTCCTTGCAGGAGTTCTTTTCTTGATTAGAGAGGATGATGGGACTTGCACAGTTTCTCATTTCATGAGAAAACGAACCGTGTTGTGAACTCCTAAGACAGGACAGAGTGGGGGCTACTGATTCAACTCTGGTTTCTAGAGCACCTAGAAATGTGTCAGGCCCTCGTCTGGATCCTGGAGACACACAGTAACCCCCGTTCTCCTGGTGCCCACATTCTAGCCTTGGGATGTGCCCAGTGAGTCTGCTGGAAGACCTCAGGAAGTGTGCTGGAAACTCTGCTGTTGGGATTTGTTCCCTCCTGACTTTTTATTATATAGTGTTTATTTTTGAATAGGCCGTACATGTGTAAGTGATAAATAACCAAAAGCTTTAAGAGGTAGACCGTGAAACCCAAGTCTTTCTTCTATTCCTGACACCCAGCTTCTAGTTTCCCACCTTAGGTGAACCTCATGGCATTACACACTCTTTTGGTTGATGGTGGCATTCACGTGCACACATACGTTGTTTCCACCTCAGTCTTTTTTAGGTTCTCTGTCTTCTCTTTTTTTAAAGATTTTATTTGTTTATTTAGAGCAGAAGTAGAGGGAGGAGCAGAGAGAAAGGGAGAGAGAGAATCTCAAGCAGACTCAGCAGAGCGCAAAGCCCTGTGCAGGGTTTGATCCCACAACCTTGAGATCATGACGTTAGGCAAAATCAAGAGTCAGATGCCCAACCAACTGAGCCACCTAAGTGCCCCTGTCCTCTCTAACTTTTAATCTTTTTAAAAGATATTTATTTATTTATTTGACAGAGAGAGAGAGCAATCACAAGTAGACAGAGACACAGGCGGGGGGCGGGGAGCAGGCCCCCCCACCGAGCACAGAACCCGATGAGGGTCTCAATCCAAGGACCCTGAGACCATGACCCGAGCCAAAGGCAGAGGCTTAACCCACTGAGCCACCCAGGCGCCCTTCTAACTTTTAATTTTTAAAAATTGCAAACTTTCAGAAAAGTTGAAAGAATACTACCTTGTAACCTTCACCTAGATTCACCAATGGTTAACATTATCATATTTGTTCTAATGTTTTCTCTTCTTCCCTCCTCGCCACATTTTTTCCCCTCAGTTTTTAAAAGTGAGCGGCAGAAGCAAACACTGAGTAGGCGATATCACTGTTCCTCACCTCTTAATACTTCAGCAGATATCACCCAGGAGCAAAGATATTCTCCTACATGCAGACATTACCACGATTTCATCCCCTGCTCAGGAATTGTGTCTCTGATACAATAATATTATCTCATATCTGGTCCTTACTCAGATTTCCCCAATGGCTTTAACAGTGTCCTTTATAGCTTAAAAAAAATCCGGGATCCTCTCAGGGGTTCTTTGTTGTATTTATTTGTTATAACAATTTAGATATTTTAAGCACTTGTCAGCTTTTGTTCCCTCCTGACCTTTACTCTCATTCCGTCCTTCTGTCTCCCACTTTGCTGCTTCACCTTTTCTCTTGAGACAGAGTTTCAGTATTGACTCTCTTCAGCCCTGCAGGTGTCCGTCAGTCCTGAAGAGCAGGATGGACCTTGACGTGGTTAACATGTTTGTGATAGCAGGCGGGACGCTGGCCATCCCAATCCTGGCATTTGTAGCCTCGTTTCTCCTGTGGCCTTCAGCGCTGATAAAAATCTATTACTGGTAAGTTGATTTTATAATTAAAGTACTCAAGAGTAGCATAGTAACAGTGTCCTCTTCCCTGCTTATCCTTTGGTGGCGGTTTTTCAACATTTTGCATGAAATATTTCGAAGATACAGAAAAGTTGAAAGACATCCTGTCTTGAGTCTGGGGACTGTTCTTGAAAAATTGGTTGTAGCTCCTCACCGGGTAGATCTTTCTGGTTTCTGATTACATCTTTGCCTGGGGGCCACTCTCACCCCCAGAGTCACTGATTCTGTCTTCAGGAAAGGATTTGCCTGGTTATGGGAGCTCCTTTGGTATTTTCTTAGTTGTTGGATTCCCACCCAGTGATGTCCTGACAGGTGCAGTGATGTGCGCAGAAAAATGATTGGAAAGACCAGGGCTGAGGGATGGCATGGGTAAGACAGAGTGGGTTTTAGATTTGTTCTAAATGTGTTCGTTAGTGAAGTGACGGAAAGAAAAAGAAGTTTCCAAAATTTTTATCATTCTCGTACCATCTTTATGAGTCTTGCCGTATCTATAGAACAGCTCTACTTTCCTTTTGTATTTTCTTTAGAATAAGTCACTCTTCTTACCTTAATTCAATTTAAGAGTGACACAAATATTACTACCTTATGCAGAAAATTCCTATTTGCTGTACTTGCCGTAAATAGTAAATTAATATTAAAAGTAAAAATGATGGGCGCCTGGGTGGCTCAGTTGGGTGAGCCACTGCCTTTGGCTCAGGTCGTGATCCTGGAGTCCTAGGATCCAGTCCCATATCGGGCTTCCCCTGCTCTGCAGGGAGCCTGCTTCTCCTTCTCCCTCTGCCTGCCAGCTCCCCCTGCTTATGCACTCTTTCTCTCTCTCTCTTTTTCTCTATCTATCTCTGTCATATAATTATAAAATCTTTAAAAAAATAATAAAAATAAAAAGCAAAAATGAGCACAATGCCATTAAATGGCGTTTTAAAATTCTAGTCTCCCAAGGATTCTGTGTGTCCTTTCTCTTTGTTACAAAGTCCAGAGAGGTGTGAATGATGTAGCAGCTAGAACAGGGCCTTCATCCTGGATGGAACCAGAAGATTAACAGTTGAAAGGAGATTAGATTTCTCATAATGTGCTTCAGTGACTTTTTTGTGCTATGGTCCATTTACCAAATAAAACCACCCCTCACGCCCCATGGTGTGTGTCCCCTGGCGAAGGCAGTCCTCAAATAGCCCTGGTTCCTCTGTGTGCCACAGGGAGAAGGGCAGCACACTGGGATTTAACTGGGACTCCGGCAGTTAGACTCGCCTTCTCTGCACACAGGAAAGAACGCAGTGAGGTTGCATTCAGCTCAGCTCGTGCCCTTTATCTGCTCTCCTTTCTGGCTCCCTTTTGTTTCATTGGAGTGTGGAATTTTCCGCCTGCCAGCCAGGCTCTGATCCTTGAAAAGAAGCTAATTGAACAGAAGGGAGCTTTTCATCCTGCACTGTCCCGCTCCCTCTTGGACAGGAGAGGGTAGGAGGGGAGCGTGGTGACCCTGTTAGAGGGTCATCCAGGACCCATCGACCTACCTCTGCATTGACGAAGCTGAGATTCTGGCTGTTTCAGTGTGATTGCCCTGCAGTACCGGCAGCCAGAGAGCTTGGGGGCCAAGGCCTCTGTGTGACCCCTGCCATGGAGAGCCCAGAGCCGTGGGCCCCTTGTGGCTTCACAGAGGCACCATGGCCCTCCATACACAGATGCCATCTTTCCTCACTCCAGTCCAAGCAGAGAATGCAGTTGGGTGGTGGGGCCCATCACCGTGGATACGGCTGCAGACAGAGGTGTGCCGATCCCACCCGCCACACAAGGAGTCCGGCAGCTTCCTTGGGCTGTCAGGGAGAAGGCTTTCAAAGTCAGGAGTGTCAGGATAATTTTGACATTGGAGCTTTGAAAAGAAAAATAACCTCAAAGCAAATAATTCACCTTTTATTGAATTAAAACTCACACAACATAAAATTCACCATCCTAAAGTGTGTAATTCAGTAGTTTTAGTATATTCATGGCATTGGAGCGTCTGGCTGGCTCAGTCGGAAGAACCTATGACTCTTGATCTCGGAATCGTGAGTTCAAGCCCTAAGTTGAGTGTAGAGATTACTAAAAAAAAAAAAAATTAAAAATAAAAACTTTTTTTTTTTAAAGATTTTATTTATTTACTTGACAGAGAGAGATCACAAGTAGACAGAGAGGCAGGCAGAGAGAGAGAGAGGGAAGCAGGCTCCCTGCTGAGCAGAGAGCCCGATGCAGGACTCGATCCCAGGACCCTGAGATCATGACCTGAGCCGAAGGCAGCAGCTTAACCCACTGAGCCACCCAGGCGCCCCTAAAAATAAAAACTTCTTAAAAAAAAAAATATATATATATATGACTATATATACACACACACAGTGTTGTGCAACCATTACCACTATCTAATTCCTATCTAATTCCAAAACATTTCCATCTTCCCAAAAGGAGCCCCTGTACCTGTTTGCAGTCACTCACAGTTTCCCCATCCCTTCATGCCCTGGCAATTTTAATTATATCTCTGTCTCTTTAGATTTGCCTATTGGGGCCATTTCATCATTTCATATAAATGAGATCAAGCAATTTTGGCATTTGATGTCTGATTTCTGTGACTTAGTGTGTTTTCAAGGTGCATCCTTGTTGTAGCATGTGTCAGTATTTCAATATTACGGCTGAATTCTAGTCCATCCTGTGGTTATACAACATGCTATGTATTTAAAAGGACATTTGTATTGTTTCCACATTTTGCCTATTTTGAATAATGCCACATAGCAAATAATTCACTTTTATTAACAAATAATACCACTAAAATCCTGAGAAGTCCCACAGAGCAGAGCATTCAGTCCCTTATTTAAATGACAGCCTAGGGACACCTGGGTGGCTCAGTGGGTTAAGCATTTGCCTTCAGCTCAGGTCATGATCTCAGGGTCCTGGGATCCAGTCCAACATCAGGTTCCCTGCTCAACGGGGAGTCCACTTCTCCCTCTTGCTCTCCCTTTGTGTTCTCTCTCTCCCTCTCAAATAAATAAATAAAATCTTAAAAAAAAAATGACAGCATAGATACATGCGATCTTAATGCCTGCCCATGCCTGTCACTCAGCTCAGAGCTGTAGCCAGAGGACAAACACAGTGTTCTTGATTTTATGAACTCAGGCACACAAGCTAAGAAGAAACCCAGCTGGTTGGAGAGAATGAAAATCCTAGAAAACCTTTTGGTTTATGCCAGGTTGAACTGTGGCATGAGGTGTTGTGATTATGGTACTAGAACCCGTGATGCCATTGCAGAGGGCTGTTGGAAATCCTGTGATTTCCTCCTCCTCCCGCCCCCTTGGAAATGCACAGCCTGTTTCCTTCATCTCACCTCACTGCAAGTGACATTTACACAGTGGGTGGCTTGGGATGAACAGCTTCACCATGAGTCACTTACATCCCTTAACCACAGCTCCTCCTCCAAACACCTTTATTTGCTCAACGACGCATAATGACCACCAGTGAATTCACTCTGCAGAGCGAGGTTGGTCAGGTTAATTTTCAGGGTTGCTACGTGAACAGGAGCAGCAGGTGGTAGAGTTAGCTGGGCCTCCCAGACAACCCAAGCTGCTCTGCTGGATGCCCAGAAGAGTGTGGGCTAATCACAGCAGTCTCTCCTGGACATCTCTCTGGGATCTTCCCTGAGGAAACTAAGTGGTGACATAATGGTAAGAAGTCATAAATAGAAAAAGATGGACAAGAATTGAAAAAGAAAATGAACATTGTTTGCGGGTGACAGGATTGTATTCATAGAAAGCCCAAGGGAATCTATAGATAATTTCTGGAATTAATAAGTGAGTTTGGAAGGTTGCTAAATACAAGATAAGTGAACAAAAATCAGTTATATTCTTATATGACAGCAACAAAAAGTAGAAAATGAAAAAAAAATGTAATGATTCTACTTACTGTTGTATCAACAAATTCAGAATACCCAAGAATAAATCTAAAGAACAGTATGGAAGGCCTCTGGACAGCGAACTATGAAGTATTAGAGAAATTTGGAGGACCTAAAGCAATGGAGGTATAGACAGTATTTGTGAGTTGGAAGACTTTCTTAGATCACTGGGTTGTCAGATTTCCCTAAAATGATATGTAGTTCAGTGTGCACCCATTTACAGTCCCAGCAGGTTTTTTGGTTTTTTTTTTTAAGATTTCATTTAGTTATTTGAGAGAGAGAGTGAGAGAGAGCATGAGAAGGGAGAAGGTCAGAGGAAGAAGCAGACTCCCCATGGAGCTGGTAGCCCGATGCACGACTTGATCCCAGGTCTCTGGGATCATGACCTGAGCTGAAGGCAGTTGCTTAACCAACTGAGCCACTCAGGCACCCAGGGTTTTTTGTTTTGTTTTGTTTTTAAGATTTTATTCATTTATTTGAGAGACAGAGAGCATGGGTCAGGGGGGTTGGATGGGCAGAGGGAGAGGGAGAAGCAGACTCCCGGCTAAGCAAGGAGCCCAGTGCAGGACTCCATCTCAGGACCCACGGATCATGACCTGAGCTGAAGGCAGACATTCAATCAAAGGAGTCGTTCAGGCACCCCCAGCAGGTTTTTTTTTTTTTTTAATGGAATTTAATAAACTGCTTCTTAAATTTATAAAGAAAAGCAAAGAGCCCATTAAGCAAGACAGTCTTGAAGAGGAACGATGTGAGATAATTTACATGACCAGCTGTCAGACCTAATTATAAAGCAACAGTGAATCAAGGCAGCGTAATATTGGCACTAAGAAGGGCAAACCAGTGGGACAGGAGAGCCCAGGAACAGATGCGCATACATACAGTCTCTTCATTGATAAAGGTAGTGCTGCTTTGCAGCGGGGGAAGGGGGCTGTGTCAACTAGATACCCATCTGGGAGAAAAGTTCATCGTGACCCGTTTGGTAGGCAGAATTAGCCAGACCCACAAAGATCCCTCTCTAATCCGCGGAACTTGTGAATATGACGACAAATCACTCCCACAGTCG